CTTCTTGCCGCCTCACCTCCAAGAAAGGAGTACGCTTTGAAAACCGCCAAATAAAGTTTCCTAGACATGTCATCCTCGGTCCAATTTGGGAACGTTGTCACTTTGTCTGAGTCGTTCACTCCTTGCAAAAGTGCATCGCCAGATAATCTAATTACATGGGCTGTAATTAGAAGTGCTAAGTGCAGCCCGCTATTTTAATCTTACGCGTAAAATAAAGTGCAGTCAACAACATGGGTCGATTTAATTGTAATCCATTTTGGCACATTTGAGCCAGACTTTAGGGTTAGCGTTAATAACTGTGCGTCCATCTTGGTATTTTGCGTTTATTGGCGCCATGACCGGAAAGCCGTTTCATATCTGAAAGGAGTCTTGGGCAGGCGGCCTTCCTGTGTATTTATTATGAAGACAGAGACAAACCGGCCTCCCTTCCTCCCTCAGGCTGCCAAATAGCGAGCGGCAAAGTTGAGCAATTAAGTCGAATAAAAGCGATGGTGGAGATTAGTGACACATCAGTCAAGTAGGTCGGCCATGAGACGGTGGTCAAACCGCCGAAGCCTCCCGGAAAATCCCAGTTATGATGCCGGCGCGGGGGTTAAGCGCGTCAAAGTAAACACGATGAAACAGATAAGGAGGGGAAATACTTTTCCTATCTTGTCCTTGAGCGGAATGCTTCCAAGGCTGTGCTCATGAGGCAGAACGGCGAATCAAAGTACTGCGACTGAGTTGTGGTTACTCCCTCCCCGTCTTCGTCTATCGCTCAAATGGGAGGCTTTTCTGGCATGATTGGTGCTTGGACAAACAGTTTCACTGAAAACGAGCAGGAGTGAAGTTGAGCGCCCTCCGCAAGAATTTCTCCACTCGATATGAAATGCCTTCGAAAAAAAAAAAAAAAAGTCCAGAGCATTCAGAGAAATTCTCATAAGCCATTGAAAGGAATATTTAACATGAATTGACCATTCTGACTCAAAGTTAATCAATAAAATGCAATCAAAACCCTGAAACCAACTCCCAAGCAAAACTTGTGTTTCATTAGCCTCAACGCATAATTTAACTTCAGGTCCTCGAGAGAGAATTAGTTCAACTTTTATGTTTCGAAAGGCACGCCTTTGGCTGTTTAAAACACACACACACACACACACACACACACACATCTTCGGGTGTCATCAGTTTGGCCTGAAGCATGACGTATTGTGGTTGGAACAACCTCAGCAAAGTGCCTCGGTGGAGTCGACAGATTGGGAGAAGTCATGAGCGGTTGTGCTTGGCAGAACAATTCATTCCCACAGGGCAGCGTGCCATCCTCGCTCCCAGTGAGTCACGGCCGACGCCTCGGCCCGTCTCAGAGGGTCGAAGGTGATTTCGCAAAAAATTAATCCGGAAGGAATCAGGGCGGCGGTCATGCGATTGCGTGGAAGAAGACCACGTGGACAAGGTTATTGGCAAGGTCAAGCCAACGTGAGTTTATTTAAAAAAAAAAAAAGGGAAGGATCGTCTGGAGTTGGCCTTATGTTATAACAGCATTTCACTTTTTGGAGAACAAAAGTTAAAAGTGACCGACTCTACTGCAGGCTCAAACTGCCGCTTATAACAGCGTTCACTTTTTGGAGAACAAAAGTTCAAAGTGACCGACTCTACTGCAGGCTCAAACTGCCGCCATCATAAAACCATGAATGCACACGGGAGGGTAGCTACGCTAACTCGGCTAAGTTGGCCGACAAAAAAAGCAATTCTGACACAAAAATATAAATGAATACTTTCAAAAGCATATCTGCACTGTTTGTAAACATTTAAGAAAACAAAACTCATTCGCTAATTCAATACATCCTACCATCATTGAACATTCCGTGGTGTTCATAGACAACTTTTTGCTCATGGCGCTGTGTGCGAGTGCTATCGTTTGATGCCTTTCACCAAGTGCAGCTCTCTGTACTTAAAAATAATTTTAAAAATAGTACTGAACAATGAGAAGTCTTGTCACATTGCACTTGAGCATCTTCAACTAAATCGCCACGCTTGGTTAAACTCATCGACTGCAAGTTGAAGCTACTTAAAGCTAGCTTAGCTTGCGCCCTGCATGCTCTGCGATTGGCTGGCAACCGGTTCAGGGTGCCCCCCGCCTACTGCCCGAAGACGGCTGGAATAGGCTCCAGCACCACCCCCCCACGACCCTTGTGGGGATAAAGCTGATCAGAAAATGGATGGATAGATTTGGTGAAACAAAGAGATGATGAAAATGTGAAAGGACACGTGTGACTGTGGATACTCGGGGAAGCTAAAGTCTCACAGGAGTTGGCGGCGTTGCTATTTGACCTCCGAGTTTGGCGTGTTTGACAAGCAAGCACAGCACCGGACAAACTTTGAACACGCCAGTTTGCGGCCAGACTGCTCGTTCATGCGCACACTTGCATGTGTGCAAAAGAAGCCTGGCAGGGAGTGTGGGAATGCTACCTCCACTCAGGAAACAAAACAAAAAAAAAAAAGGGGGAAATTGGTTGCGGGTGCGGCCCCGCCTCTGCCAAACTGCACGTCCGGAAAAGTGTGAGTGAACGTGGATGTGAGGAAGCGGCAGAATGCCTCAAGTAACCCCCCACCCCTCCCCACCCCGGTCTATTAGCAGGCTCAGCGGGGCTCCAGCTGCAGGTGAGCTTTGCGTAATCTGTAAATGCTCCTCCAGAGCCGCGCCGCCATCTGCTGCAGTGCTCAAATAAATAAATAAAAATCAAACCCGAGTGCCAGCTGCTAAAAATACACGCGGGCGTCACGCATCGTCAACCAGGAGCAAAACCCTTTAAGCACACACGCTAAATGTAACCGAGCCTGTCAACAACTGTATCCGTTTGTACACAGGATGAATACTTCCCCGCTTTAAATGTCGTCTTTTTCAAGGAAGGATGATTCTTGCGACGGGAGAGCCGTATAAAATATTCAACATGGCAGATTGGAAAAGGGGTTGACAGACATTCGGAGGCCGAAATTAGATCATATTCATTTTCTTGTGAAACACTGACTAAGGAAGCTATTTTAAATTTCAATGTGCTGGTGCGCAGATCTATCACGGCTTGGTGAGACTACCTCCCCCCAAAAAAAGTGAAATATAATTATTTTTTTTTTTTTTTAGTATCATCTCTTCAACTATTTTAAATTTGAATGTGCAGATCTATCACGGCTTGGTGAGACAACCCACCACCCAAAAAAAGTGAAATATCATTTTTATTTAGTATCATCTCTTCATGTCATCCAATGACGACGAACAGTGGAACCTCAAAATTCAACTTCCCTTCAAACACACGAAGGCATGAATTGTGCCTTATAGTTATGTCCTCCTCTATTCATGTTTTTCGTGATCATACATTCTTTGTATTCATGTGTTTAACTCCCCACATATTCTTATATTAACGCTGATTGTTTTTGCTGACCATGTGCAAAGAAAGAACTGCTTCCTGTTCAGAAGCACTTCCGCCGTAGCAGGGAAAACAAGAGCTGAGAAAAAGAAGTCAGGTTCACACAGCCTTGTCCAAAATGCTGATTGATGACCGACCGGTACACGGCCTCAACTGTTAAGATAACCGTTAGACGACCTCACGTGCTGAGGTCATTTCATACATCCTGTAACCTTTCGCCTTCATGGAATGCAGACTTTAACTGCTAAAGATGGTTTCACATGTACCCAGATTATTCATGTATTCAAACGTCTTTGCGTTTCCAACCACAGCGCCACCCCCAATCCCCATGTTGGAAACACCCAACATATAACGAGGGGCTCCTGAAGCAAATAAAAGGGATTTCACATTGTTTTCTGCATGTTACGGTTATTCGTCATGAATATATTTTTTGGGGTGTCTGGAACAAATCGTTTCGATTTACATTACTTCCAATGAGAAATCTTGCTTCAGTTTTGGTACGATAAAGTTCCAGGACTTTTGCATGAACTCTGGGTAGGGCAGTATTACAAGATCCCATAGTGTCTTAAAAATAGTGAGTCACTTTCAACACAGCCATAAAAAAAGGACCTAATATGATACTAAATCAAATTTATTGATTGCACATCAGTTGACTTAAGCCATAAGAGCGAGCCTTCACTCTGAGCAGCTACCTTGAGGAAATGACACAGGTGGCTCGTATCATAGCTGGATCGGTGATGTTTGAAGAGTTTTCGTAGCACTCTTAAGCGATGTCAATGATGCCTCCGCAGAGAATATTCGGAAAAGCTCATGGCGTCTGCGCCTGCCATTTACACGCATCCGGTAGAAGATGTGAGGGTGCCCCATTCGCCAGGCGGGTGACTATATTTAGCCTCAGTTCACTCGACTGCCTGATGAGGGAAAAGAACGACCTAACAAGAAGGCCATCCTCCGCCTCAGCGGTTAGATAACCCGCCAGGTGAAGTTCAGCTCCAGTCGCTTACGACTCAGACACACTCAACATTTCGCAGCTGGCAGAGGCCACAACAAAGTTCTCTAACGGAGTCTGTTGGACTCGTTCCAGCGAGTGTGGGAGGTTCGTTGGCATGTCTGTGTTGACGGCGGCCCGAAAAGTGACTCAGTGGCGAGGTCAGCTCGCGGGGCCGCACCTTGGCGCTGCGAGGGACAAACACGTTTGGATTGGCGCTCTCGAAGCCCGTCGCTAAGCGCTCAATTCCGTTTCCCCAAAGGAAATAACTTGAAGTCTAGTCATCTGGTCCAGGGCTAAAAGTTGCGCCAGCTAAAACCTTAGGGCAATGTTTTAATTTTAACATACTAAACTGAGAGAAGAGAGAAAAAAAATTGACAGCCAGCCACTCCCACGCTCTGAAAATTGTGCCAGATCAGTAACAAATGCCATTTGGCACCATGTAAGGAAGATTATTTGTTCACCGGAAGACTTCAAAATACACAAACAGCAATTAATCTATTTGAACGAGTTGTTTTTTTTAATTGAATTTAATCACCAAAGGAAAAACAACTCAACACAGGGGAAAGCCTGATAGAAGATTCTAATCTCTGCACTGTGAAACAGACTGCAGTTGTTTGTTTACATTCAAACCTCGGTTTGTGGTCATCGCAAGTAAAACAGAGTTGAGTTAAGACTAGCTAACCACCAGCCCTTTGTTGCTTCCTTAGTCTGATTTGCTTTAAACCTTCCAGTACACCAAATACAAGCAATTTTTGTTTTACTCGATGCACCTTAAACCTTCCAAACTGTGATAATTTTCTTGTTTAACGGTTGTCATTACACTTTGCCCATCACTGGCACTCCTCTGGCAAGAAAAGGAACACAGTTGATGCTTACTGAGCTCAAATAACAGTATGATGTAAAAAAATAAAAAATATTGTGAAAGTAGTAAATCATCCTGTGTTCAATTTCATGTCATAACATGTTAAGGCAATCTTTGGTTGCAATTGCGGTTCAAAAGAGTCCAAAAATTGAATCGCTGGCATGTCCCCATTTTCTTCACTTCGTGACACGAGTTTGTGTGCGAGGAGGAAAAGAAGCAGGCCATTTTATTCCATCGGCCTACATGTGTTTGATGCATTCAGAAGCAAACAAAGCCAGACGCCGGCGGCGTGACGTCAACGCTGGACAAGTATAATGGCTAATCATGTGACTCAAAGGGGTCAGAACGCACGACCGCAGCCTTTGGCCTGAAATTCGAACACCAAATACCCAAAAGGTAGCCGAAGCCTGTGACTATTAGCGCCCCCCCCCTTCCCGCAACCCAAAATTGGCAGCTAATCATAAAAAAACGTCACGTCAATTGAATTTAATCACCAACGACTTGAATTTTCTTTTAAAAAAGTGTAATTTCACTAATGCCTCCGTGTCAACATTCTTTAAGCAAGACGAAAGGAGAGACCACGACACAACAAATATATCTTGACGAGTCAGCGAACAATCGACCCTCGTTGGCGGCTTAAAACTCATCTATCCGCAATAAAACCAAAACGGGGAAAAAAAAAGGAGGCGGTTGAACTTACCGTTCACCCCGGGCAAGAGTCGACCTGCAAAAAGTTGCAGCAAGAGGAAGAAAACGGCCTGCTCCTTCATTTCGGCCAGTAATTCAGCCTGCTGAGATAAACCGTGCTGTTGTGTTGGTTCGCTAACTTGAACACTGGAGGAGAAAAGACACCCGTGACCGCTCGTGACTGTCCTTGTTTTCGCACACGAAGCTCGCGCCGGAGAATTCCCAGGCACCCGGTTTATATACAGCGGCACACGTGCCTACCGGCGCTCCGCCAATCACGAGCCACCCTTTACATTGTAGCCACACCCCCAAAGTGGCTCTCCAATGTTGCTGGGAAAAGTCTAATGTCATTTATGGTCACGTGTCTAGCCTATTTTCGCGGTTCACGAAAGTCCATCCAAGCAAAATTTTAGAGCAATACTAAGCCCACCTCTTTGGCTCAAGAAATGGATTGATTCACCTCACCTCGGCTTGATTTGCGTTGAGCTGTAACTTCCCTGTCACATAGAGTGAAAAGTCGAAGTGTATACCTTGTTCCAAGTAGGATAGATGGCACATTTCTTAGCACCTCCAACTCAATAACAACACGTTGAATATTACCAGGTCGCTTTTCTGACACATTTCCTGTTCATGAGCAATTTGGATGGCGGTATATTTTTCTCTTTTCTCATGGCTCATCCTTTCAGTAACCTTAATCAGATTTGAAAAAATAAGTAACAGACTGTCGTAAATCCTTTATTTACTCTACGGGGGGGATGATTTCACATTGGTAAATGGTTCATGAAGGTCGAAGTCAGAGGTGTCAAACTCATTTTTGTCAAGGGGCCACATTCCAGTAAGTTTCTCTCCGGGGGCTGCTGTGACCGTGAAACCATATAAATGTCAATATAGAATATATACAGTCCACAACAAATTGATGGATGACTACTGCAGTTGTAAAAACAGATGACAAGAATAACAGCACCCAACATTTGGATTATTTGTGGTTGTATTGTGCTTGTATTGTATTGTATTGCACCTCATCTTTGGCGGTTCACGAAAGGACACATCGAATGTTTTGCAACACCAGCAGTGGTGTGAACGTTACCTGTAGCCTAGTAACAGTTTAAAGCATCCCCTTGGAATCTCGGCCAACAATCGCTCAAGAGAATGACTGATGAGGGTAACTTTTTTTTTTTTGCATTTTTCCTCACAGGTAGTTTGGATCTAGAACATCGTGGCACTCGACAAAAGGGAGATACACTGGAACATTCGAAAAATGTGTCTCACGTGCCCCATTTCAAGTGAAAAAACACGTTAGTCACAGGCCACCCGTGATTTGAAAAAAAAGAAACAATACAACGGTGAAATTCCATCTTGACTTTGTTAACCTGTGTAGGCTTAGATTGCGTGACTTTCCATAAATGTACAGGATATTATTTTTCATGACTCAATCTTACTGTAAATAACAATCATTTTTTTGTCACAGCAGTATCAATTTCATTTTGAAATTTGTATTTACATTGACAGTTCCTGTTTAGAACTTCCGGTTTAGCGCGGTTCGCAAAAGGGTAACTTGACATCTCAAGTACGGCCAGAGTTTGTTACGGGGTCGTACCAAGCCCTATTTTTTAGCTTTGCGAAGAGGCAAAAGGTGTGTTTTGTGTAATAATTTGATGTCTGTGAGCATCTGTGTTTGTAAAGGTTTAAAATAAAAGGTTAATTACGTTAGCTAATTATCAGCATGTGTTGTGAAATGTGTTTCAGCTCTGAGGGTGATTAGGCCACTATTATGGATATATGTTGCTCACAATTAAAATGCAAAAAACGCTAAAAACACACAGCAAGGTGCTTTTGAGACTTTCCCATTTCGACCCCATATCCCCTCCAAAAAATCTACTGCACTTCATATTCTTTGTGTTGATTTGATGTTATGCTGTTCGAAATGCATTTGGTCAACCTCCCCCACACTTTTTCATGCAGGCAGACGATGACAACAGATTTTGCGACAGGGTGGACTATGACAAGATGGACATTTTTTGGTGAATGTTCGCATTTACTGAGCACATCGTGCACCTTCACATGACAACACGAGCCAGTGAGCAAGCTGTCTTTGAACTGCTTATAAATAGATGTCGAATTTCTGAAGTTGTTTTTTTTTCCTGATGACAGGATGGACATGTTAGGCTTCACAAAATCCAGCTCCACACATTATACGATTTCCTCCATTGAAGAAAACGGCACACAGCTTTCATGAGCCGTTCATAGACAGAATCTGGAAATATTTTTGCAATAACATGTTCGCATCACAGACAAATACAAGATTTTTTTTCTTATGACTGCACGTCACCGCAGTGTCAGAGCTTCATTAATAGGACCCCCCCCCCCAAAAAGAAAAAAAAGATGATGCATTGCAAATTCAAAGAGACAGAACCCTGTTTGATCCTAATCCATGATGGGCAGCATAATCCTATCAACCCAAAACCTTGTGACATTGCTGGTGCGCTTTGAAGGAATACTGCTGCTTTTCCCACATGGTGCAGACTTAACGTCTCCCGTTTTCATTTTGACATTCTGCATGCATTTATTCGATTGACTTTGGTACTTTGATTTACGAGTGAGCTAGAACGACTTTTTCCTAGCTACGAGCCGTTGCTCACACGATTATTTTTTTCTGTCTTTGATTTGCGGGTAAAATTTTTGGCTACGAGCACCAGATGGCGGCAGCGAACGTCACACCAAGCAACCGTTTGGCCGCGAGTGAACAATTGTCTTGGGAGGGGGAGGCAAATGCTTGTTTCAAGTTGTTTATTGCCATCCCCAGTTGAAGTTTGCTAGAAAACTCAACGTGATGTGAATGTAGTGTTGTCCTTGAGCAGAATGAGAATATAATTATAATTTGCGGTACAGAGCGGAGAGCACTGTTAGTTTTTTCCCATGGAAAACATAACGTAATGTTTGTAAAAACCGCAAATAAATGTTTGTGAAAAGCAACTGTGCCATTTTTATGTTTGACGGGTCGGCTATGCTGTACCTTTGCTTTAAAAATTCCCTTCGCAACCCGACCCCTGCGAAATGTAATTAAATACATTATATCCACATTCTTCATAGATCGATCCCATCATACTATAAAGTAGCACAGCCGTTGAACTAGAAGCTGGCTCCCCCAAGTGGTGACGTGACTTCCAACAATTCCAAGACTTGGAACAAGGCGAAAGTGAATGTCACAGTACTCAACTCAGCTACTATCAGGCCATACAAAAGTACTGTTTGCTGTCTTTCCTTTTAATTAATGACTTATGACATGTATTTATTTCATACGTGCTGAATTTGTGTCGGTAATACTTCTGCGTCTGCGTGATGATGCAATTGAAAAACAGCAATAAACCGGACTTTTATAAAAAAAAAATAAATAAATAAATAAATAAAAAAAAACGAATGAATTAAACCCCAAATAGTCAACAAGATGTCAAGTCGGAACTGTTTGTGTTGCATTCACGTGCAGGAGGATATTCTGCGATAGTGGTAAAAGTGAAACTTTTCTCGGATCGACTGCATGAATGAAAAGAGTAACCATGATTCCGAGTGGGCGGGGTGTGATGGCGAATAAGCGTCGTCGTTTGACATAGTTTACCGTTGAGCTGGGAGCGTGGGCGGGGAAAACCCCGAGGTCGCAGTTTTTTTTTCTTCGTCTTTCTTCTTTTGCGTGGGCTTGAACGCATCCGGAGCTGGTCGCTGGTCTCGGGGCAGGTTCGAAACACAAGCAACAAGTGAGGGTGGAACCGAGCTGAATCGGGACACACGCTGACGAAAGCCACGGAAAAACGTCCTTTAAAATGGCCCTTCTTCGCTAAAGTCAAGTGTTGTGTTGAAGGCCCGTGACGTTGGCATTAGTGACGGAATAAAGAAAGACGACGGAGAAGCCGAGACCGGAGCGCTTCTCATGTAATTGATCTGCCTGCTGAACGATCAACAAGCCAGCTGGGGCACCAGCAACAGGTAGGATGCCACTTTTTTTTTAGCCAGTTTCAGAGCGGTACGCGCGAAATACCGTTGTTACGATTTTCCTCTGTTGTACTCAAGCTTTAAGATTACCCAAAAGTGAGCGGACAACCCCAGAAACAATAAAGTTCGTAATTTCTGGGTTCATTTCCTCCTGCTAACTCTACATGATGTCACTGATCATGAGTTGTTCAACGGATCACAACTCTCAGTTCCCAACAGGCACAGGGAGCCTCGAAGTCATTTTGGTTGACTTCTGAATTGTTTCCTCCCAAGAGGAAAGAGTGGCAAGTAGAAATAATCCATACCTGGGTCAAACTGTCAACATCTTCAATCCTAAAAGCTCTGAAAAGTGAAAGCAAATGTCTTCTGAATTTGACACACTGCAGATTTGATCCCAAATTTTAACAATTAAAAGAGGAAAAAAATGGCCATATAAAATGAGGCTTCAAAATTGTCAAAAATCGAGCCAGGAGCATCGAAGTCATTTTTGTTGACTTCCGAATTGTTTCCTCCCAAAAGGAAAGAGTGGCAAGTAGAAATAATCCATACCTGGGTCAAACTGTCAATAGCTTCAATCCTAAAATCTCTGAAAAGTGAAAGCAATTTGACACACCGCAGAGTGTTGACGATCCCAAATTTTAACAAAAGAAAAAAAAATGGCCACATAAAATGAGGCTTCAAAATTGTCAAAAATCGAGCCCTTTTGTCTGCTGTCATGCGGGCAGTGAAACCGCACATTCAAAATTAATTTTGTAAATTTGTTCCATAACGCTGACATAACATTGATTTCCTTCCAATTGGCAATTTGAAATAATCCATACCTGCCACTGTCCTAAAACTTGGAGGTAACATTTGGACAGTCTTATCTTCAATGCAAGTGTAAAAAAATAAACAAATACATAAAAGTAAAATAAAGCAAAATTACTTATACTTTCCAAATATCATGTCACAGAGCTAATGATGGTTTGCTTATTTTATACCAAGCAACCACACACACACACACACACACACACACACACACACACACACACACACACAAAAACGAAACAGTTCCTGAGTTTATAATGCTGCGTGTTTGCGACATTTACGCCACGAGTTGCACGAGCTTCTCTTTGTGCAGAGTCTGGAGACTCGAACAGGATCAACTCCAAAGTCATGTGGGCAGCTGATTTAATCAAGAGAAAAATCCCTCGGCTCCAGCACTGGGCATGACAAATTTGTTTGTAGGAGCACCACAATGTTTACGGGCCCTTCCGCCGACTCGGAAAACTAATGACATGCATGCTGAATTACTCACCAAATTGTGTTGAAATGGAGTGCTGCAGAAAAAAAAAATTCATTCAAAGGTGGCACAAAGCTGCTGAGCAGCAACATTAAGTGCAAGAACTCGTTTTGCGCACATTGTTTTCCAAACATAAACTCGCTTCGAGATTTTGCTTCCTCATGGTTGTCCTGCACGTCATCCAAAATCCCCAAAAGGAATTAGCCGACTCACTCAAAGACTTTTCTGTCTTTGGAAGTCATGGTCTAACCTCACGTGTTGTCTCCAGCGTCTACGATGGCCTCGCTGGCGGATGGCGGCGGCGGCGAAGGCATAACCGCCCTGGGCTCGGAGCTGCCGGCCATGTTTGACGGCGTGAAGATGGCGGCGCTTGCCACCGTCCTCTACGTCATCATGCGCTGTCTCAACCTCAAGAGTCCGCCGTCGCCACCTGAGGTCAGCCACCAGGACACGCCGCTGACCCGCTACCTGCTCAAATGCTGCCCCCTGTTGACCAAAGAGTGAGTGGAAGACATTTTCGGATTGTGTCACATGCAGGTCAAAAGACAGGAAGAGTTTTTTTTTTCTTTTTCCTTTGGCAATGCCTTTCACTTTTGTCACGCACAACACCGTTTGACGTCACGGTGAAAAAGGTCGATTGACACATGACACGCTGGTGCGTGACGACCAGATTTATACATAAACGAAAAAAAGAAGGCCTGCTAAAGATTTCCAGTGGCTTTTCAGCAGATGCTGTCTTGCGTAGCAAAAAGCCTGCGAAAAGCGGTTTGCAAATCAGGCTTTTATGTTTCTCTCGCGACGAAACTAATCAAAAATCAAGAATGCCTACTTTTTTTTTTTTAATCCACATGTGCTCCAAAATGAAACCCCTCAACAAAATGAGTTGGAAATCAGTGAAGTAATGCAAAAATAAATAAATAAATAAATAAAAAAGTGAGACAAACCGAAAATCTTGCATCCGCTGGAACGGCGCTAAAATGAAGTAAAAAGTTTAGATCCAAACTTTTATCCGGTTCTCCACCAAAACGTAATTCCTTAGCCCTTACGACTCGCCCTTAAGATGTTTTGTGGAAATTATTTTGTTTTCTTTATCCCGCTAAGAAACACACTGAAAATCCTGCATCCACAGCAACGGGGGCTAAAACCGAGTCCAAATTCTGGAGAACCACCTCAATCCAGATCTGCACCAAATTATAGTACACCTTTGCAACCGGTGCATCTTAACATCAAAAACAAAACAATTTAAGTAAGCAGCTACAAAACCCCTGGACAATGCTACAATCAAGGCAAAATTTGGATCTGTACTATTTCCACCAAAATTCCTTCACAAGTTTTTTTTTTCTTCACAAAGAAACAAACAGAAAATTCCAGATTTGCAACAACTGCCGCAAAAAATGAAGTCCAAATTTTAGGTGCGGACTTTAATCTGGATCGACGCTCAAATAGTGAAGGCTTCCTCCGAAGCCCAAAATCTCTCTTCCCATCGGTCCCTCCACAAGTTGTTTTTGTGTAATCCAGCTCGGCAAACAAACGCCGCTAAACTGGATCTGCACCATTCTTTGGATCCGCACCAAAAATTCCCGAGCCCAAGCGCCTTCCCTCCTCCAAAGTTTAGATCGGTTCCGTTAGTTTGACGTCATCCCGCTGAAACGGATCCAACCGCAAAAGGTCACAACCCCACTCGAAAGTAACACCTCGTTCTTGCGTCTCTCGCTATTTGCGGGCCACTGCTTTGAAGCCGAGGGGCCAAAAGTGCCGAGTCAGCATCCCGTCGGACCTCGAAAGATGTGGCGTGTAATCCGACGCCTGTGCCACTCCTCCGCAGATACATTCCACCCCTGCTGTGGGGGAAGAGCGGCCACATCCAGACGGCGCTCTACGGCAAGGTGGGCCGTGTGGGCACCCCGACGCCGCGCGGGGTCCGCAAGCTCCTCCCCATGCATGACGGGGCCACGGCCAGTTTTGACCTCTTTGAGGCGCTGGTTGAACACCGCACAGGAGGTCAGATTTTGGGGGGAGGGGGTAGAGGGAAATGCTCTAAGGTAATGATAAATATCTTTTAACAAACTATATAGAAAGACCCCGTGAATCTTAGCAGGATAAGCCCTATGAAAAATGGATCTACCAATGTTATGCACACACAAAAGTTGTCAATATAAAAGTAATAATAATGATTGTGAATAATTATAATCACGGACTAAAAATATATTTGAGTTTGCAAACATTCTGGAAAAATTATTTTTTTGTAGTATTTCCAGTGTAGTTTTCTAAATATAGTAATAAAATAAGAATATGATATATATTTTTTTTTTATCTGAATGAATTAAAACGTGTTAATTTGTAAAAGAAAAACAAACCATGAAAACATTTTATTGTTAAGCATTTTCTATTATTATTTTAATAAATCCCTTTTTAAAATCTTTGTGACAAAAACCCCAAACCAAAAACCAACAACAATTTACCGTGCGAAACGTGTCTTCTCAGATGACATCACCATGGTCATCTGCCCCGGCTTCGCCAACCACAGCGGGAACGTCTACATTCGCACCTTTGTGGATCACTCCCAGCGGCAAGGCTACCGATGCGCCGTCCTCAACCACTTGGGGGCCTTGCCTGACATGGAGCTGACGGCGCCGCGCATGTTCACCTACGGTAAGGACAAAGCCAAATCATCAAGGGCAAACGGCGGAAGGCTTCGAATAGGAAGGAGGATGCGAGCGGTCGCCGAGACGATTACAAAAAAAAGTATATGTAGTTAACTTTGTTTTACAAAGTTAGCTTGATGCTAGCCCGTCTATGGCGTTATGCGCAAACAAATGTTTGAACCCTTTAACATTGATATGAAACGGTTAGCAACACAATGGAGACCAGTGGTGTCCAAACTACAGCCCGGGGACCAAATTGTGGCCCACTATCCATTTTTTTTCCAGCGGACCGTGACATGATCCAAAAAATAAATTAATAGAAATAGAATTGGATATGGGCCACAAGATTAGTTAAAAAAGGCGAAGTTGGGTAGAGTGAGAAAGGAGGGTGCGCTGTAGAACTCTTCTTGATATTCGAAGATACAAATAAACTATGATTAAAAGAATAACACAATTATGGTCACCGAAGGACAGTTTGGTTTTTTTTGCATCCGAATGTGGAGATGGGATTTGGCTACTAAATGCAGAGCTGGTTCTGTCAGATAGACATCCGGTGGCTCCCCGCCACTCGAGACAATTTCAGTCTGTCTTTGTTTACGTTTATTTAAGTATAGGAGTTGTATCATTTTGACCCCAATGTTGGACTTTCAGTCCGGTTGCGTGAGTACCTTTGCCTCCTGCGATGCGCACGACCAGGTTGCACGTGGGAGTTTGCTGCCATGGTGAGCTACGTGAAGCAAGCGTTCCCCGGCACGCTGCTGGTGGCGGTGGGCTTCAGTCTGGGCGGCAACATCGTGTGCAAATTCCTGGGCGAGGACCCGGCCAATCAGGAGCGAGTGCTGTGCTGCGTCAGCGTCTGTCAGGGCTACAGCGCCCTCAGGTGGGCACGAACCACAACACGCGTCAACTTTCAAGACAAGTTCATAATAACAACCGCCTTTTTAATTTTTTTTTTATTTTAAGAATGTCTTTTTAGACAGTACCATATGAACTTGTTTTTGTTATTAATTTATTGTTTTATCGTATGAATCACTTTTACTCCTTGCACAGCAATTTGTCTACAGCGGTGGTTGTTTTAAAGTGCTCGAGAAATGCAGTTGAGTTGAGTAATGAGGTGTTAGCATTTTTAATTATATTCAAATTTTGTCTCACTTTCGAAAAGGAGTCTCCCACGCCCTTTTCACAGTCGCTCTTTCGCTAAATGATTTGTTGCATTTTTTAAAGGTCTTTAAGTACATTCAAGTACAACTCGCTGTTTGTCCTCGTGTTTTTAGAGCCCAGGAGACATTCCTTCAGTGGGACCAGTGCCGACGGCTGTACAACTTCGTCCTAACCGAAAAGCTGAAGAAGCTCATCTTGTCGCACAGGTGGGGTCGTCGAGCACGTCTTGCGTTTTTTGCCGTCCCGACCCGTTACGTCTCGAGCGGGCGTTAGCACGCGTCTTTCTTATATGACGGCGTCCCGCAGGGAGAGCTTGCTGGGCGTGACCTCCAGCAACATCAGCGACGGCGACCTGAGTCGACTGTGCGCCGCCACGTCGATCACGCAGATCGACGACAGCATCATGAGGTGAATTCTCTAATTATTAATACAATGTTTCATGCTCATTTTTGGAATAAAACTTCAACTATTCCATAAAAATCAACGTTAAATGTTTGACGATTTGTCGAGATTTGTAAAACTCAAAAAGGGTTTTTTGTGTTGTTTTACTGTGTGCAGGAAGTTCCATGGGTACAGCTCCTTGGATGAGTACTACAAGCAGGAGAGCTGCGTTCGCTACATGCACAAGGTGAGCGGCGGCACTGTCATCTGTGACTTTTTTTTTTTCCACCCCCATCCGAGATTATTTGCTCATGCCACCGAAACCTCACGCAGGTCTCCGTGCCGCTTCTCCTGATGAACTCGTCCGACGACCCGCTCGTGCATCGCTCCCTGCTCGCCATCCCACGCACGCTCTCAGGTTTGGATAGAATTTGGGATACGGCGACAAGCAACCTACGCGTGGCAGCTTGTTTCTATAACCCCATCAGGCAGATTTTTTTTTTTATGTCATGTGATCCGCCATTGGTTCAAAATGTACTACAATGGTTTGGCATTATCAACATATCCCGTTTTCAATGTTTCCACTTCTACAATGTCCACATTTCAAAATCCAGATTTCACGTCATTCATTTTCCATTTGCCGATTATGCTTACAACGAACACCTTTATCACATAAATGTCATTATAACCACCAGATTTTCCCCACAAAATAGTGAAAAGGCCCTCATTACAATGAACCGTGGGCAGCTAACTGCCGAAAATACCAGGAAATGTCCTCCCGTCAAATAGTGATACAGCGTGTCCCAACACAAATTATATGGCACAGCAATGTATGTAATAAAATACTTTAAGTTGTAAATAAAAAAAGTTTTTTTTTCCAGCTCGAAAAATGCTTACCTTCCCACGGACATCGAGAAAAAGGGAAAAGTCAAAGGCGGGAATTGTCCTCAAATGGGGCAGTGCCACTTTCATTAATGAAGTAGGGGAACACATAAAATGGTTTGGTCCACCCTTTGAGAATGGAGGATATAATAAACGAATACGTCAGTTATTTATTATATCATAGATTTTGTGTAATTATAATACAGTACATTAAGTTTTTTTTACCGGCCCTGTTTCACAAATTTGCTAAGGTTTAATGTATCGTCTACAAAACTGACATGCACACTAATACCAAGGTTAGATTTCGGAAGGCGCCATGATTGTTGCTATTGCTAACGCGTGTATCTTTTAGCCTTTTCATTGGGTCACAACATTTTACATAAAGCACTACATTAATAAAGAGGCATTGTCGAAATTAGGCCGCGCTGTGAGTGTTGGTTTTACACGGCATGCGCGTATTGTTGTACCGTTTCAAAAGTGTGCAAGGACAACTTTGGCACGAAGCAACGTCGCTCTGCAGTCGACGTCACGTGGGCGCAGGAGACGTTTGTTTGCATTAAATATGAAACCCGAAGATCACCTTTCAAAACACAAAGCAGGTCTTCGTGTCTTGGTTTCCGTGCGGGGATAAACACGCGGGGGTTGGGGTCGCAGTTGGGATCGCATCGCTGTCCCTGCGACGATTCTGTGCGTTAATTGTTCATCACAAACTGTCCTCGTGCGGTTTTGTCTTTTGGAGGAGTCACTATTTGTCTCCTCGCGTGTCAGGAAACCTAAAACCAAGCGGGTGCAGGTCTGCGCTTGCCTTACGTGTGCAGACGTGACGTTCGGCTGCTCACGCCCCCCCCCCAAAAAAAATAGGGCACAATAGTACAAAACTTCAAAGTGAAAGTGAGCTTCACTGTAATAGGTGGGACATGCTGCATGTATAATTGATTTAAAAAATAAGTACTTTAAAAAAATACAGTTATTCTTATTTTAAATTTTGACCTGAAATATAGAACTTAAAATGTTATTTTGAAAAATACAATTAAAAGAAGAACCTTGTATCTTAATTTGATTTAATTTTTAAATATTTTATTTTTACACTTCAAATTGGGTCAATCTGAATCCGAAACAGGAGGACACCGCTGCATGTTTAGTCAATCAAAATTGGGTGCATTCAAGAAAATAACTGCTTTGATAAAAAAAAAAAAAAATGTATAAATCTAGTAAAATTTTCCTTGATTCAAAATTTTAAGTTTGACCCGAGATATAAGGTATAAGCTTATATTAGGGGATCCAAATTCATCACGTTTTTTTTTTCTCGTCTGGACAGAGAAGATGCCCAACGTGATCTTCGCCCTCACCCAACACGGCGGCCACCTGGGCTTCTTCGAGGGGGCCGTGCTGTTCCCTCAGCCCCTTACGTGGATGGACAAAGTCATCGTGGAGTTCGCCGACGCCATCTGCCACTGGGAGAGCAACCGGCTGCCCCGCCACGCCGCAACCTGCCCCGATTTGAGCCTGGGATGCACCGAGAGAGCGGAGGGAATGCCCGCCGCCTGGCCCTCGATTTCAGCTTGAGGATGGTTGGGAGTTGGGCCGGGGTCGGAACATTTCTTTGTCTTTTTCCGGATCGTAAGACCTCAGGTGGTTCTGCTGTAATATCTACTGAAAGGGAGGAGGTTTTTTTTTTTTTTTTTTTTTTACTGCTGCAATTTCCTTCTGATGAAATGTGTGAGTATGACATTCATTGCGTTTTTCACAAAATGACGTCGATACTGTTAAGTGGCCTTGCAACCGCTTTGGAATACTCCTGAAACTGGATCGGGCTGAGGGTATTTATGGCTGGACGACATTTTCACTATGCACTTTAGACTCTTGGCGCGACTGTTTTTGACTTTTTTTTCCTAATTGTTAATGATCTGAATAAAGAAACTACTTCATCTCTAATGGGTGGTTGTTTTTTTTTTCCAATTGTTAGAAAAAGCTAAACCAAAAAACAAAAACAGACTACAAGTCCACGTTTATATACACCTTACTGTACAATTGATTGACAGTGTTGGTACAACAGGTAGGTAGCACAGTAACATTTCATCGTCGTAAACGGTGGCGAACAGCAGGCACTATGGGGCAAGGATGGATGGGGGACACACTTGCTGCTTTAAAATAAACTGTTTGGAGGCTCAACGGGGGTCCAAACAAAGCCCAAGAACAAGTTTCAAGGAGCTAAGACACCACAGATGGGGATGACACCACGGATGCCTTCCTCATCCGCAGTTGAGTAGTTAAACACCCTCTTCCAACAAATAATCACTTTTTTTTGGGGGGGGGGGCATCCACTCAATAGCACTATGTAACCTTTTTTGGGGTGGGGGGGTGGAATCTGACCTGACACTGGTCTCTCCAATCCACACAAAATTTGGTGGACTCGTCTGTCATGATGAGGCGCACAAAGTTTGAAGGACCCCATAGCTGGAAATGGAACAGGAAGTTGTCCATTTTGGCTGGAAGAAGCCATTTTGGGAGCAAATTCCGAGAAAATGAGGCTGGAATGAAAAAAAATGCACCCCCTGAAACCAGTTTCACCAATCAGCACAAAATTGGATGGACATGTCAATCAGGACTGGATGCACAAAAAAGTCTCAAGAACTGGTGCCTGAAATTGAAGAGGAAGTCAGCCGTTTTGGTTAGAAGCAGAAATTTTGGGGGTAAATTTGATGACAAAGAGATCTGGCAAGTTTGAAAAAAATATATGTTGCTTCATCAATCGATATGAAATTGGGGGGAAAGGTTAATCAGGACAAAATAGTCTCAAGGACCAATGCCCAAATTTGAACAGAAAGTCGATTTGAAGCAACTATTTTGTGGGTGATTTATGGGCTTGGTCTGGACACTGCCCCCCCACCCCCAAAAAAAAATGACAACAAGGCAACATCCTCTCAGCAGTCTATGGAATGTAAACGCGGCTCGGGCTTTTAGTCAAACAACTTGGCTGCCGTGGCTTTGCCGTCGTAGTTGTCCGCTTTTCCGTCAAACTCGGCGGGGAGGATGTCGGCGTCAAACTCCTTGTAGTAGTTTTCCAGCTCATCTCCGTGCACAAAGACCTGAGGGAGGAGACGACAGGCGGACAGTTGGCACTGGAGAAAGAGCGGACGGAGGGCCTTTAGAACGTTACCCTCTCCAGAAGTTTGCTCTTCATGAGGGGCTTGACCACGTTGTAGGTGGTTGTGAAGTACCACGGCTGGTGGATGAAGTGCACCGCCTTGAAGCGAGCCGGGAACGAGTCCTGGATGAGCGCACGAGGGAGGCGGACAAGGAGAAACGGGGCACTTCATCAATGCTGACCACATTCACATTCATCTAAAAATGTCTGTGGTAAAAAGACATAAAATTGAAGGTATTCCACCTGCAGCATGTCCACCATCTTCTTGAGCTCGGTGGGTTTGATGCCCGACGCCTGCTGCATAGTGAAGCCTTTAAAGTTCTCGATGATGCAGAAGCCGTTGATCTGAGTCTCCTCGTTCTCCAGAAGCTTCTCCAAGATCACGCAGTAGGCCCGCAGGATCTGGGGGAAAAAAAAAAAAAAAGAAAAGGGTGTCCCACCTGGTCAGAGGGCGGAATCGGTGCATTACGGGGTCCGCAACGTGCGCACGGCGAGCACCTCGTCGAAGGTGATCTCTTCATAGTCCCAGTTCTCGATGTTGAAGAGCAGTACCACGCGGCCGTACTTGTCTCGGCTTTGGAGGATGCCCGGGTAGCCCGCCTCGATGGTGCTCCGCACCGCCTCGGGCGTCAGGTTCTCAAACAGCTCGGGGTACTCCTTCCTGAAGCGCACGTAACCTTGGAAAGGGGGAAAGAGAACCTTGACGTCACATCAAAAAGCAGTCAGGCTCTGCCTGGCTTGGAAAAAGTTCTGGCTTCGAAAATCGGGCTTTTTGAGTGGAGAGGAAGTGTTCTTCTGCCTGTGCATTTGGGCCTCTAAATGGGCTTTCGTTCTTCGGAAACACGTACGTGTCTCAAAATCGTCAAAAGACACCGTCGGTTCATTGAAGACGTTCAAATCAATCTCGCTTCTTGCCACCCACCACATTTTGGAAGGACTCTACCTTTCATGAGCTCGAAGGATCTGGGAACGTCGTACTTCCTGGCCCGGATGAAGCGGACCAGCAGACTGTCCGGTTTCTCCCCGAAAGTGTCCTGCACCCCCTTGGCCAGCTCGTCTCCCGCGTCGGCCTTCTCCTTGATTATCCCCCGCAGCTCCTTGACCGCAGACGCGCGCTTCTCGTCCGTCTCGTTCAGCTCGTCTTTGGCCTGCCGTGTTTGCGATCGTATGACAAGATGACGTTGCGTTTTTTTTTTTTTTCTTCTTTTCTCCCCCTTGAAATCGGCCTCAATGAGAGCACACGCCACGGAGATGCGTTGTCTACCTTCTGCCGGGTGTGGTCCGGCAGGCTGGGGCTGGGTCCGAACACCGGCCCGTGGTCCTTGACGGTGAGGCGTTCCAGCTTGGCCCGCAGGGCCTGCTCCTCCTCGGACACCATGCGGTAACTTCCACTCTGAGGATGGCAAGCTTCGTTCAAGACACAAATTCTCTTTCAAAACGATTTTTTTTTTGGTATGTAGACCAGAGGTCCCGAACCCTTGGGCCAGTCCGCGGGTCATTTGGTGCACATAAATACTAAATAACTTCCTTTTTATTCATTACGGAATCTGAAAGATGTTTTATTTTGAAAAATTACCGGATTGTCCGTTATATCCGTCTAGAGTATGTCACTCTTGACGCAGGTGAAGGCGGCGCTTCTCGGTCAAGTGATCGGTTACCGCTAAAATGAAACCCAAGAGCTCGCAAAATGAGTAAAAAAAATAAAATAAAATAACGTCTTTGGAAAGGGGAAAAGGCCCAGCCATTTTGAAGGCACGTTTAAACATTACCGTGGCGACCAGAGAATGTAGCAGCCAGATAGGAGGTTCCTCTTGTCATGATTCGTGTTTATTATTATGTTTAGATAATACCACAGTTTTCACGCAGGTCATATCAGATTATTTTGTTGTATTTAGTCCGGTCCCTGAAAATATTGTCTGACCTAAAACCGGTCCGTGGGGTAAAAAAGGTTGGGGACTGCTGATATAGACGGCTATATTATCTGCTCGGATTCCAAGCCAAATGCTTCAGAAGTCATTGGACAGCATTTCACAGTGCAGATGGACAATGTCCCAAAGCATACTGCGAAACCCACCTTTTTTTTTTCGGCAAAGAAGTGGACTATTATGCAATGGCCGAATCCAACACCCGACCTGAATTCGATTGGGCGTGTATTTCACTTCCTGAGGACAAAACTGAAAGTAAAATCTGCCAAGAACAAGCACGAACTGCATGCCCCTGCATATCATGTAAGTTTCTCACAATACGTATGTTTTTCTTTTTTTTTTTTTAAAGAAACCTAATCCACATGAGAGCAAGCGTTAATTAATATGGCCTCAGTGTTGCTGTAATCTGTCTCACATGAGGGCCGTAAAACCCCCAAATGCAGCGTGATGCCGATCAAGGGCTGCATCCCAACAATGAGCTTAAGTATTTCTTTCTCCCTTCGCCCCCTCACAAGGGGCCATTTTGTTGCCAGGTTCGTGCTTGCCCATACTCACAACAACAGCCATGTCCGCTGAGTGCCACACCGGGGTCGCTGCAGTCTGAAAGACAAAACTAACAAAAGCAATCAGTAAATAGAGCGCGGCATGTTGAAAGTGGCGACAAATAACCAAGAGCGGCAAGGATTCGGGTACAAATATATCATTACTGTACTGAAGCAAATTTTTATGTATCTTGTGCATCCCTCTCAGGTCTTTTTTTTTTTTTTTTAAACATTGTCCTCTCGGGGAGGTTGACAAATGTAACAAGTCTATTTGGGCAAATGAAGAAGTCGAAAGTCCAGATGTCTGTTGGCAAATGTAGGGAGTAAAAAGTGGTCAAACGAAATGATTTCTATGTAAGTGAATAGGTAAGTAATTAAAAAAGGATTTTGTGTGCCGAGTACTGTTTTTTTCTTTGTGCGAAGTTATCCCCAGAAAAATGCTTTTTATATAAATGACCGTAAAACTTCATTTTTACTTTTGTTTTGGAGTACATTTCAGAGTCTGTACTTTTTTTTTTTTTTTTAAACACAAGTATCTGCACTTTTACTTAAGCCCTGCGTGTGGGTACGAGATTATCCAACACCGTCACGAGCTGCTATTTGGACTCCGTAGGTTCGATTTTGTTTTCCCGTTGCCAATGCTTCTTTTCTGAACCTTTAAAACGGAACGGGATGAATCCGGCTTCATCCCGCCGCTGCCCCGACAATGATCTTGATGGATGATGCTAAATTTAGCTCTTGCAATATTTATCAGGCAGATTTAAGCTCAACTCTTACATCAGCACGCTGATTTGGAGTGCGCACAATCAGGCTGGAGAACAATCAGAGAGCAACTGCAATAAATTAAGCTCCCCCCTCCTCCCTAAAAATGTTGCATACATAAACTAAAATTAAAAAAACAAGGTGTACTTTTTTTTGGGAGGTGGGTAATATTTTAAAGACATTGAACCAAATCGATCTCACGGAACAATTTCATCCCAGAAATAAAACCAAATTATTGATTCGTCAAGGAATGTCATGAAATGGGTTAAGAACAATGAAGTAAAACGAACCCAACTAAAATAATACAAAGTTTTTGATTGTTGGAATAGAAGAAAATGTACGTTTTAGTGATTTTATTTTCAATTAACATATCCTTTTATTGAAACCCAGAGGGGAACTAAAACTACTCTTCAATGTTGTGCTGCTTCTATTGAATTAAAATGTGATTTGTGTTCATTATTTTTGTTGTAGATTCAACAAGAAATTGACATTCAAAACCAATCACTTCAAAATGCTCAGTTTTGTTTTAAATGTATCCCCAAAACCCCCCAAAACAATCACCAAAAGGGTGCTATCTTCTGCCATCCAGTGCAAGTGCATGAAATTATTCTGTCGGTCACTACACGTCGCTGGCGTAGATAGATGAATAGCGATACACTCTTTGCGGCAAGTAATATCTGAGCAATGATGTGGAATTGAACAAATTTTCTGCGTCAAAGTAAACAAACACATCAAAATAATACTCAACAATTCGACGAATGTAAACTCCAGCTGGCTAAAAATCCCAATCCTACTACATGAATGCACGAGAAGCACGCAGTGGGAGGAGGCCTACCTGTTTTGAGGCGAATGAGAAGCGTCAGACGTGTACGGGACGGGGGCGTAGAGCTGTGATTTTTGTAGCGTGGGGATTAGTGGCGTCACCGCAGATTACTGCCCCACACGCCCCCCCCCCCCTCGCATTCAATCTGCATTGTGGTAGAGTGTGATGTAATGTTGGGGATACAGATTTGGAGTGGTGAGAGTGTGTGTGGGGGGCGGTTGATTGCATTCCTCCAAGACTTGTGAAAAGTGACCATTGTGACCGTGAGCCTCCTGCAACGTGTTCTCGGCTGGTGAAGGTTTCGTAAGGCAAAAAGATTGATGTTTTAACTTTCAAATGTCTCCGACTGGCGGCACGGTGCTCGACTGGTTAGCTCGATTCGGGCTTTGGCCGATGGAGTTTGCATGTTCTCCCCGTGCCTGGGTGGGTTTTCTCCGGGTACTCCGGTTTCCTCCGTTACATGGGCAGGTGAATGGAACACTCCAAATTGTCCCTAGGTGTGATTGTCTGTGTGCGCCCTGCGATTGGCCGGCAACTGCTTCAGGGTGTCCGACGACAGCTCGGAGAGCCTCCAGCACGCCCGCTACCCTCGTGAGGATAAAGCAGATTAGGAAATGGATGGATGGATGCGTCTCCGGCTAATAGGCCGTTTCATAATGGCGCAGCGCCGGCGTAGCACCGGAGCAAATGTTGCCGTGTGAACACCCCTAATGTTTGCAAAACAAACGGGCGCCGAGGTACTTCCGGGTGGCAGAAAGTGACTGAAAATCAGAATCGACGTTTGGGGCTGTCAAGAGGATGATGCAAAAGGTTGTGAGGTTAAAGATCGTCTACTTCCTTGAGGCATCGTGTCCATTTGGAAAGGGAAAAGCCTGGAAAGCAAACCTCCAGCATCGGGTTCATGGGAGACATTTTCAATTTCCAAACAGTCTCGCTTGCAGTTCTGTTTGCTTTGGAAGTACCCCGACGCTGCCCCCCCCCCCACATGCTCTCAACCCTCCCTCCTTCTGCCCCGCACACGTTTTTCTCCCCGCCACATGGCCATCGGTAATCGGATAAATCTGCTCAAGAAAGAAAGCGATTTGAGGAGCAAAGTTATGCGGATTGGCCCAACAATGCGGCCTCTGTGCTTTGGCTCAACCATCCTGCCTCAGGGCCTCACACACACACACACACACACACACACACACACACACACACACACACACACACACTCACAGGCCGCAACATTCGGCACAGCTGCACAATCGGACCGCATTCTTACGAAGCCGCCGTGAATGGAAGAGGTCCACACGCCACTGTTTGAATGCTCACTTTTTGTTTTGTAAAAAAATAAATAAATCTATCTCTCAAGAGACGTGGTTGCAGAAGTGTGCACACCTCAAAATTCAGCACGTGGGTGTGTTCAATATCAGTCACCTTCAAATTTATGTGAACTGATTCATTCCAAATAAGGTTTAAAAAAAATGGCCTCAGGTAATGGGCGGCGCGGTGGTTAGCGCGTCGACCTCACAGTGCAGAGGTCGTGGATTCGATCCCAGATCCATCCTTCCTATGGTGGAGGTTTGCATGTTCTCCCCGGACCTGTGTGGATTTTTTCCGGGTACTCCGGTTTCCTCCCACATTCCAAAAACATGCATGGCAGGCTGATTGAACACTCCAAATTGTCCCTAGGTGTGGGTGTGAGCGTGGATGGTTATTTGTCTACTGCCCTAAGACGGCTGGGATAGGCTCCAGCACCACCCCACCGCGACCAATGTGAGGATAAAGCGGATCGATAAAATGGTAATTGTCACTTGTCAGAGAAAAAGAGAGGATTAGCCAAGGTCATTTTTGTCAGAGAAAGTCAAAATACTGAATGGAGAAAAAAAAAAAAAAAGTATCTTATGAAAATGGCCCAAAATTTGTTAAATGAAAATGTTACGCACTGTATCATTTTAAATGGTTTTCATTTGTAACGTCTTAAATTACTAGTCATGTGAGGGCAGCACAGTATCCAGTTTTTTATAGAATACCCCCCCACACCACTTCATTTGAGCAGTGCCTTATACAAAGCTTGCTCATAACCCAAATGTATTTGACCCTCCCCCAACTATATTTGAATTCCCCATAAACAGCCAGCCTTCAATTTAGTCGGTTCCCGGTTTAGTCCCAGAAATTCCCATTGGTGGTTTCCAGCTTTGAAAATTCCCACAAAAGCGATCGATCAGTCAATGTCCATTCACAACAAAAATTTGTAGAGCAACGCTTTATTTTTAAATAGTACAAACAACTTGTAACCAAATCGCCAAAGAGAAGCAGCACCACAGCCGAGTCAAACGCAAACAGGAAGATAACGGCAACTTCCTGTTTGTGATGACGGGAACACTTTTGTCGTCTTCGCCACGATACTTCCGGGTGTCATAAAAAATCCTCATCCGACACGTTTTCAACTGTTTTCCCAGTCGCTCCGGCTTGCTAAAGTGACACGGAAGGCTTTTGTGTGCAATCGGCGCACTTGCCATCTGGAAGTAGCGTACGGGCGACGCCCTGGCGTAAGGAACCGAGGAACGTCTCGAGAATAAATTAGGAAGCATTTGCCTCGTCGTCGTCGTCCTCTTCAGCTGGCCAGTACTCGTCCTGCATGTATTTGGCTGCCGGGTGCTGGTCCGTCAGCGGGCTCTGCAGCTCCCACTCCCACTCGCACGCCACCAGCTTGTAGAGGTCCAATGCTGCCAGGGCGTCCTCCACCGAGCAGTGGCCCCTCGTCCCCGCCTGCCAAGTACTCCTTTATTTGGCACCTCAAAGAGAAGCTCCGCCCACAAGAAGAAGCGCAAGCTTACCTGGATGCGTCTGTTGAGGAGCTTGCCGGACAGTATCTTCAGAGACACGCGGCGCCGGCGGGGAAAGCCGGCCAGGCGTGCCAGGAGGCGCGTGGCCCCCGTGTCGCGGATCATGTGACGCGGGAAACGGATGCGCAGCACGCGGAAGTCGTTGCAGACGGAGTGTCCCACCACCACCTTGCCCTCAAGGATGTCAAAGATCTACAGGGGATGAGCGAAGAACAGAGTTGGCATTGAAAGTTGTCTTCTTTCATCACAGTCAGCCCGCTACAGCCTCAAGATGTGGGCAAAGCACGACTTTTGTAGAAAAGAAGCTCCTCAATTCGCTCCAACATAATCCCTCCGCACTCGGCCTGATGGTAAAACTTCTGTCAACTGAAACCCTTTCACTCACTTCGCCTTCGTTCCCTGGCACCAATATGCCACTAGACGGCAGCGAAGGCTCGACTTAAATGAACTCCCTCAACTCACTTCAACATAGTTCCTTGAGACCAAAATGGTAGCAAAGCACTACTTTGGTCTCAATTAACCTCCTCAACACACATCAATATAGTTCCTTGGCACCAAGCTTTAACAAAATCCCCACAAAGTAGTACGTGTGTTGAAATAAAACTCGTCAGATCACTTCAACATAGTCCTTTACAACCAAGCAGCTATTAGGTGAGTTCTCTATGTGAAAGTTTGATTGCGTAGATGTCCGCCGGCCTCACCTCCTTTCTGGCCTGCTCGAAGGGCGTGGCGCCTAGCAAGTGATGCGGCCGGATGCCGCTCCATCGCGTCCTGTAGTCGGTGACGGGATGACACGGCCGGATGTACTTGTCGTAGAGGATGTTGCCGTGGTAATCCAGGATGCTGCAGCGGGCAAGCTCGTTGC